GTTTTGACACAACAAACCACACTGGCTGTCCTAGACTTCTTTGTAGTCCAGACTGGCCTTGAACTCACAGAGATCCACCTGCCACTGCCTCCCAGGTGCTTGGGATTAAAGGCATGTGCCACCTCTGACCGGATTATTACAATTATCATCATCATCATCATCATCATCATCATGTTTTTATTAGGTTCAGTTTTCTGCCAGGTTCAGAGTATATTTAAATACTCTATCTTGGGGCTGGAGAATTAGCTGAGTGGTTAGGAGTATCTGCTGCTCTTACAGAAGACCTGAGTTTGGTTCCCAACACCCACACGGGGCTACACACTACAGTATGTAATGCCAGTTCCCGAAAGTCTGATGCTGTCTTCTGGTGTCTGTGGTCACCTGCCTGCACATGTCCACATGCCCACATGCACACAGACACACACGCCATAAACAGATAATAAAACAGGTCTTTAAATGCTGGGTCTGCAGTAGAGGTTGGGATGACCCTCTCTCCCTCAGTGACCCATCACTTGGAACTGCCTGAGTCTTCTTTTTTTTTTTTCATGTTTAGTTAAATCTTTCAAAGTCCAGACGCTTCTTCACTGCTAATGCATGATGCTGCAAGAAACCCAGCGAGAACTGAAGGTATCATACGTAAGCTGTAATACTCCAAATACATTAAACCCACCGAACATCCTGGCGCAGTGCCTGGCAGTGTCAATCTCTCACCCTGCCACTGCGCAGGGTCACAAGAGGTACTCTACCACCCTTCACTAGCCCACCAAAAAAACATCAACATTCAGAGCATAGCGTCTGCTGAATGGGCATTGCTTCCACATCCTCATAGGTAAAGTCATAACATCAAGCAGATCCATTCAGTCAAGACAGCTGCACTGGGAAACAACAAAAACCTAGTAGTGCAGATGTTTTAAGTCCAGCTGCAATAGTCAAGCACTGTGATTTGTAACTGACTCATTCTTTTTTTCTCTCCCCCCCCCCAGGAAGTAATGGAGATGAACTGTATCAATATAATGTTCTCGTGTCAATTTGATAAAACAAACAAACAAACAATAAAGCTTTTGGTTAACTTGCTTAGCGATGGCTTTATTTCCAAAAGGCTGCGCCTCCTGCCCCCGTTATTAAGTTCTTTGTGTGGAGTCTGCGCACAGTGATCTTCTCCTTTGTGAGAGAGCGGCAGTCACCATCAAAGGATGTCAACAGTTTAGAGCTTCTCAAGCGGTTGCATGTCTTAATCTCCTCATTCTCAGCCTTGAGTGGAGGAGATAACCTGGGAAACCGCCTTTTGAAATCATGTTGAACTCGCTGACTTCCATCAGAGACGTGTCGGTAGCCGCAAGCATCGCGGTGTAGATGAAACCCTCAAGAGTCTGAACTGTGCGCCAGAGTGGAATGACAGATGCAGGGAACTTGGCATTGTTTTGAGTGTCTAAGATCAAATGCCTCCGTCTTTGATAGTATAGTTGATTTATCTTGCTTTATGGCGGCAGCTTAGACTTGCCTTGCAAGGAAAGCTTAGTTATCTCTTAGCGTTATAAATGACCTATAATGTTAGTGTGCCAGCTGGACATGGCGGTGCACCGTTGTAGGGTCAGCATACACAAAGCTGTGCCACAGGGTCATGAGTTCAAGGACAGCCTGTTCCGAGTAGCGTAGCACAATCCCTCCTCTTCTCCGGAATTAAATGGAAAATAGTTCAGTACTACTCTGCCCACTCAAGGAAAAACGAACAAATAATGAGACTTTTAAAGTGAGGCAGGGATGTAGGTCAGTGGTGTGGTACTTCCCTCCTATACCCAAGGCCCTGGGTTGTTTCTCAGGACCATACATCACAACTAAAGTCACCTTTACTGCTAATAGCTTCACATTTGATGAATGTTAACAGTACCACAACGGTCCTTCTTTTTTTATGCTAACACACTCATGTCACTGTATCAAAGAACTACATGAGTACCTGGTCTATAGGAGCATAAAATTGCAGCGTTAAAGTCATAAAGAACATCGTTTTTCACTTAAAGTAAGCTGTACAGCACGTCAGGACACCATATCTTGGGGTATGGTTTTGCTGATCCCCATTGTTAAGCATGCTAATTTTGAAATGCATCAATTTAGGATGAGAAGCGGTTATTCTGAAACGCCCTAGAATTCCAAAAGTTTATTGCTGGAAATGCTTGAGCTATATTTTCTGGTCAGGTAAAAGGCCTTTGGATGACCATTTAATTTTGAGTGTCTGTATATATAGCCCTTCCTCCGAAGAGCCAAACACTAGTTTAGGAAGAAATTTGTTTTGAACTTAAGACATATTTATTCAATGTGTCTAATGATGAAATTTTAACAAGGTAATTTAAAGATCATTCAGGCCAAATTTATGCCTTTTTTCCTTAAGATTGCAGAATCAGGCCACTGATCATTCTGTAACTTTAGAGTCGGTATTTTAATGGGCCTGGCAGACAGGTTAGGTTTTTGTTTGTTCATTTTAAATAAACACAGAAGGGCTATTTAAAAAGCAGACGCGAAGAGCAAGGACCAGCCACTTGGAAATTACATTTCCTGTAGTGACAACAGAGAGAGAAACTGAGTGGCTAGCAGATTCTTTCAGGTTTCTCTTCAGAAGAGATAAAGCAGTGAGACCATGGTTACCATTTGGTTGGAACTGGTGCCTTTAGTGAAGTTGGATGAATTTCTTTCTTAGTTGGCTAGAGAATAATCCCGTGGTTTTTGCCCTGAACTCTAGCATGCATGGCTCATTTGGAGCGAGCCTGGTCCACATTACAGCCTCCTGTGTTTTCTATTTAGCAATCCCATTGGAAAGCATGCTACTATTTCACTAACTGAATGGAGTTTTCCTTTCAGAGTGATTTTTTTTTTTTTTTTTATTCACTCCTGGGTCCTCAGCACTCATGGAGGGCATATCAGGAAATATTTACCTAAAATATTTTTTGTTTTGTTATGATAATAAAAATAAGGAAGTTCATTAATTTTCTCATAGTCTCTGTCACTTTACCTTAGGTTATTTTTCCTATTAAGCTGAAAGGAAAGCTGCAATAAAAATTTAAGGTTTTATCAAGAACCATTAGAAGAATGTGTAAGAAAATCATGGAGCAGTGAATCAGAAAGAGTCAATGAAAAATATTACATTAAAAACACACACACACACACACACACACACACACACACACACACACACACACCAAACGCTGGTTGGTGGTGGCTTTCTCCTTTAATCCCAGCACTTGGGAGGCAGAGGCAGGCGGATCTCTGAGTTCGAGGCCAGCCTTGTCTACAGGGTGAGTTCCACAACAGCCAAGGCTACACAGAGAAACCCTGTCTCACCTCCCCCCCCCCCAACTACAGTCACCACAAAGGAAACAGGATGGAGAAATGAAGATTCATTTGAACGATATGAAGTAACTACTTTGAATGGCCTTGCCATTCAAAAGCAGAGAAACGTGGAACCCTTCTGGAGGAGGAGGATTCCATGTATTTGTAAGCAAACGCAGTGGAGTTCTGTGATCATTCCAGCCCCGAGCTTTGCCCGACTTTCAGTAACTGATGGAAGGCAAAAGCTGAAAGTGAGAGGTCTAGGAGCTGCCATGTTAAGCAGCAAGAGAGGCTTGTTGGCAGCTCGATGTGGGCGGTTCAGAGGCTGCAAGTCTCCACACCGGAAGCCCGTTAAAGAGCTGCGCGGTGTGTCTAATGGTAGCGGGTGGGGAAGAAGTTGGCAGACTCTCGCTCAGAGAATCTACGTGGAAGAAAATACCCAAACAGAAGTCACAGCCCTCAGGGTTCAGAACCAAAGAGAGGTCAGGGGCGGGGGTGGGGGTGGTGGCCAGGAGTCTATTTCAAGTTCGTTATGAGACCATCGGGATAAAAAGGAGATTTAGGAAGGTAGGGTTGGGATGGTGCAGTCTCCCTGGGGACTGAGGACGGAGCTCCCGGGAGCCTTCAGGTTAAAATGATGGACTGAATGAGAAGCAGTAAAGACAAAGGGAGAAGGTGGGATGCGGATTAGCCCGTGGGCAGCTCTCCCTTTTCCACATCGCAGTGCTCTCGCCACTGTCAGTTCAGCAAATTCAGGAGAAAAGAGCTGCAAAGCAAAGAAACACAGTGTGCTCAGCTCCTTCTAACGTAGTCTTGCTATCAGCAATTACAGGAAAAAAAAAAAAAAAGCAGAAGAAAGAACCGAAGTACCCCCATCAAATTAGCCACTTGAATTGCCTTAAATGTCAGGGTAGCACTGATTAAATTCACATGGTACGGAGGGAAATAAGCGCATTTAAGAAGAGGGGTATGAGAAGGGGGTCCGAGTCTTTGCACAGTTCAAGACATTTAGGTCCTTAACACATGAAAATTGCCCTCTGAAGCAAGAGTCTTTGTAGAAAAACGAATAAACTATTCAATACATTTGATGCAATTCTCGCTATAAGACTCTCCCAATTTGTTCCTATGCTTTAAAGAGAAGGTGAAAAAAATAGTAATAATATGCTTTTCTTTTTTTTTCATTGACCGTAAGGAAAAGAAAAGAAATTTATTTGCACAAGAGGTAAACGCTATGGGAGAAAACTTTTCCACTAGGGAAAACTGGAAAAAAAAAAAAAAAAAAAAACGTACTGAAGCTAATTTTTAGCTGGCTTTTAGAGTGATCTTTAAGTTTGAGTTTTCCTTTTATTTTGTATTAACGTGTGTGTGTTTGTTGGGAGTGGGGAGGAACCATGTCACATGCTTTATACGAACGAACGCCCAGAGCAGACCAGGGTGTCTCACCTGTTGCTGTTACAGACTGTGTTAACATAAGGATCTTACGAATACCAGTTTCTTGTTGAAAATGGGATTCGGGCCTGCAAAGCTACCATTCCGCGAGCTGCCCGCCAGTCCGCAGAGGTTTTTTTCCTGACGTCATGCCAACCTTTTCTCTTCGCAGACAGGCCAGTGAGAGTCGAACTGGCGGCGTAAAGAAGTTCTACGAAGCAGGACCGATGTGCGCAGAGAAGGAATGAAGCATGGATGTGAAAGAGCGTAGGCCTTACTGCTCCTTGACCAAGAGCAGACGAGAAAAGGAACGGCGCTATACCAACTCGTCGGCAGACAATGAGGAGTGTAGGGTTCCCACGCAGAAGTCCTACAGTTCCAGCGAAACCCTGAAAGCTTTTGATCATGATTCTTCGCGCCTGCTTTACGGGAACAGAGTGAAGGATCTGGTCCACAGAGAAGCAGACGAGTATACTAGACAAGGTAGGCACACACTCCAGTAGGACGAACTTAGAGGTGCCCAGGCATTCGGGCCCCGGAGAATGACGTTAGTTTCCTTGTCCTGGCTGCTGCTCCTGATTCTGAGATACCCAGTGGGTCACCCAGCATACCAGAGGAGCGGTAGAAAGGCTCCCATGACCCAGACCTGGGTACTGACACACATGGAGGGTAGGGCCTCAGCTACACGTTTATACGTGTGTGAGGTTGATGGTTTGGCACATGATCAAGGTGTGTGTAGAGAAGCCTGAAATGCAAGCTTTTCTTAGTTGAATGAAAACACAGACTGCTATGAGAGGAAACAGGTATTGAGAGAGATAAAACTCATAAAAACCACGTAAGAATAGAGTCAACATTCTAGATAATCTCCGGTTCCATCCAGCCCGTCCCTTCACTGGTGTCCATCTTATACAAAAATGAGCCACGGAAGGATTCTCTTTTCTCCCTTCCATGCATCTTCACACCTTAATACAACCTATTTTCCCATAATGTAATGGCTTGGTCATATGCATATATTTCTTGAGTATTTTTACTCTCTCTCTCTCTCTCTCTCTCTCTCTTTTTTTTCTTTCTCCCTATCTTGCCAGGGAAATAATGACTCCTGTAACTCTAGTTTGCCATCCTAGGGTGACTGATTTTCATACTTAAGACAGCAGCTTGTCTTAAATAAGGCATATAGTTGTATATTGTCTTGTACGGTATTGAGATGTAAGCGAGATTTCTCCAGCGAAAATAAAACCCTCTTACATGTGCGTTTCAGATTCCGTAAAATTAGTTCCCTTTGGCTAATTTAATCAGGAACTAGAAAAAAAAAATGGAACTTCAATAACAAAGGATATATATGGCCGTTTTCAGTCACCCCATTGACAGAATGACTACGAACTTGACTGTAGGCTAGACAGAATCTAAAGAACTTTAGAAAACGACAGTGCAGGACACCTGCCTTCCTTAATTCCAACAGTTGGGCATGGTTCCTTCCTTCTCTGCATTATCAGAGAAGACATGCTTCATAAAATGAGAGGGAATTCATTCGTCCGAATCAGTTTACGTTCTAAAATAAATTAATTTGGTTTTCTCAAGAGAAAGTCCCCCTCAGAAGCATGCTCTGCTAAATACTGGAATTTCATGAGAAGGGGCAAGATAAACTTCAGATTTTTAATTCGTTTTGAAGGAGATACTGAACATATTTGGCTGTGTACTCTTGGTAAGGCAGGGAGCACTTGTAGGATCTTTATACTATCTAATGCTGAAGCGGTTCCTCCTCTCATATCGTCTACACAGCTGAAAGACATTATCAACATACATTTTTCTCCATTTTCTTTTTAAAAGCAGGCAGTGCGTGCCATCTGAACCTTACCTGAAGCCTTGCCCCCCCCCTTTTTTTTTTAAATAACAATAACTGTTTAGTGCCATGCCCTGGGAAGAGTAGTAAACCGGCCCCACAATGCTGTGCACTGTCAGGAGAAAACTCAGTGGAACACGTGGCAGGGAGCATCGTCCGGGAGGCTCCTTCCCACCCCACCCAAGCAAGCATTTAGTTTTGGCAGAATGGAGGATGCTTAAACAGGTTAAAAATAGCTCACTAAAATGTTCACCTCCTAGGCAGTGCTTAATCCAGTGCAGGCTGTTGTGGTTGACGACCTTGGTGGCGCTTTGGGGGACAAAGAGTGCTATCACTCGCTGGGAGCCAGGACTAGGGAAGGAGAAACTAAGCCAGGGGGCAGAGGGGGACCTCTCATCTGGATCCTAGTGATGTGTGTGGGGGTGGGGGTGGTGAAAGGCCGGTTAGCAGAAGAGAAAGGAAAGGCCAGGGCGCTTTGCTCAGAGGTACTGGGCTTCACTGCTCAGGCCCCTGAATAAGAATTTGTTAAAAACATGAGCAGACAGGACGGCTAGTTCTTGCTCGAGTGTGCCTGTGTGTCCTGGGCCACATGTTCTGAGTGTGCTGTTGGTGCTCACCTGATGGGGGCACCGCAGCAAACTCATCCGCAGATTGGGATGGTAAGGCCTGGAGATGTCATGGCTAGCGTCCCGCAGTTGAGACTAGCTGGCCAAACCTCCTGCCTTTGTGCTTAACAAGGTGCAAAAAGGTGCAAAGAAAAAAAAAGAAAGAAAGAAAGAAAGAAAGAAAGAAAGAAAGAAAGAAAGAAAGAAAGAAAGAAAGAAAGAAAGAAAAGAAAGAATAAAAGTTGCCTCTTGCTTTATTACAGCAGATTTTCTTCAATTTCTCATTAAAACGTGATGGTCTGCATACCTTGTAAAAACACACACACACACACACACACACACACACACACACACACACACACACACACACTTCTTTTTTCTCTGTCTGTGGTGTGTAACTGTGAAAACCACAGGTTGTCCAGCCAAGTGTCTTTTCCAGAGATGCTAGAATCTGAACTCAGGGCCTCATGATTTCACAGTGTGTGAGGCATGTCCCCAGCCTTCACCGCACACTTCTGTTTTGTCTTCCTTGTTACGGCAGGATCTGTAGGTGTAGCGAATAAGCAAGCCTGCTATCAAATTATGTTTTTCTTGAGCAAGCATAATGGAAAATCCTCCCAGGCTTTCTTTCGCTTTGAACCTGACAAATGTCAATTTTTCCTTACTGCCTATTATGCTGTGGGATTAATTATTTAATTGACAAAATGTGCTTCCTGCCACAGCTCCTGACACCTCACACACAATAAAAATGAAAGATTAACAATATTAACAGTAGCCAGAGATCTTTGAAAGAGTTCCAAAGAATCATGCTAATTTAGCTCCTCTGTGGAGTTTTAAAGCAGGCTCTTCCTTGGATCCCACATCCCTCTACTTCTTAAATGACACAAGAAAATGCCATTTCACCTGCAGGAAGGGATAAGTAGAGACCCCGTTGATGCAATCACATGGGGACCTAAAATGGAGAAATCCAGGGTTTTTATTTTTATCAACAGATTGTTCTGGCCTGTCATCACATTTGATTTTAATCAGATTTTTTTTTTATGGCACCACTGACTGGCAGGTGACTCCTGTTAATTACATGTTATATTTAGATCTTGTGAAGCTGGGATGATTTCAGTTTTACAGTCATGGGCAAGTGGACTGGGTCTCACACAGATCTCTCTCACTCTCTTTCCCTCCCTCCCTCTGTCTCTCTCTTCCTCTCTGTCTCTCTTTCTTCCCCCTCTCTCCCTCTTGATTTCTTCCTCTCTCCCTCACTTTCTTTTTGTCTCTGCCTCCCTCCGTCTCTCTCCTCTCTCCCTCCCTTTCTCCCTCTTTTCTCTCTCCCCTTCTCTCTTTTCCTTCCTCTATCCCTCTCTTCCTCTCTTTGTCTCTCCCCCTCCCTCTCTCCCTCTTTAAATCTTCTAGTGCTTTTCAGGCAACAGTTACTTTCTCTGCCGCTTTGCTGTCTGTAGGTGAGAGGAGTTTGGGATGACAGTGACATGTTCTGCATTCTTAGACTCCTCTTTGAAGAGAATTTATCTCATCAGGTCAGAGACGTACTTCTTACAAAACAGCTGCCTACCATCAGCCCACGGTTTTGGAGAAGGGACTTTTTTTTTTTTTTTTTAATCCTCGCTGGTGCTGTCTGTGCTGTGTGCATGAGCCTAAGGTATTCCCAAATACATAGCAATTCCAACATGGCATGTTGGTTCTAGGGTTGAAATCAGAAAGGCATTTTCTCTGAGACTAAGAAAACTTTTTTTCCTCCGAACCATAAACCTGCAAAGACCCCACTGCTCTCCCTGAAACAGTCCGAAGCTTAAGTGTTGAATGCAGTCCAGTTCATGAGTGTTGTGTGTTTCCAATTTTGGGAATGGCCACAGAGAGGGAGGTATCATCATGTCTGTGCTGATGCATAGCTGAGATCAAAATAGGGACAGCATTTGTGAAGAAGGGGAGACAGGGTAGGCAGACTGAAGAGGTTCTCAGTGGTTGCTAAGCATGGCTTACCTCTGGTCTTTGCTGGCTGCTTGGCTCCACCCTTTGGAACTTGCTTTCTGTTTTATTCTTACCATGATACAGTTCCCATCACCCCTGCTCCCACAGTTCCCCCCCGCCCCCCGGCAGCTCATCCATGGTTAGTTCGGGCTCAGTTCAAGTGCGCTTTGGGGAGTTCTGCTGGGGAGAGGTGAGAAAGAGGAGGAGGAGGAAGGACAAAGGTACCTTGGGAGGGTTATCTGCTGAGCTCAGGCTAACTGTGGGTGCTAGGGCTTAGTCTACTCCATCATTTATATATAATTCTAGAAGAGTAGTCAGGCTCTCTCTAAATGTATGCCCAATGTTCTGGCTTAACGGTGGCTTGAATGATTCCTCTGCCACCCCTCTCCCAGCTGACTGAGCTGAGTGAAGCAAATGAGAAGACTAACTGGGAGGGTCCTAAAGGACCAAGGGAAGCTGGTGCTCTTTACATCTGCACCACATGAGAGTTCAGAGTGGGAAGAGACCAGAAAAAAATGTTGCTGTAGTTTGGGGTTCCAACAGAGGCTGGTCTGCCTCTAATATGAAACCTACTTAAGTGCATGTCTGTTTACATGGACACCTGCCTTCTTGTCCCCTCAGGGTGGAGGGAAGGCTAAGCTGATCTCTTCCTTTACTCTTGGCACAATGCGGATGCCAACACGGAGATCTGCTTCTGAGAATAGAAAGGCCTGTCCTTAGGATGTAGTAGGATTTCCTGTGTTTTCTCACAAGACCCCAAGAAAACAGCATGCTTAGTGGCACCCAGCAGGCAGTGCGAGGGATAGAAGGCAAAGAAACAGAACAGAAGACTTACAAGGAAAAGACACCGTAGATAAGATAGAGAAAGAGGAGAGGACAATCTGAACCAGAGTAAGAAAATATGGAGAGGTGGCTCAGCATGAGGAGCATGTACTGGGTTTGCAGAGGATCTGAGTTTGAGTACCAGCACCGATGTTAGGTGGCTTAGAACCACTTGTAACTCCACCTCCGGGGGAATCCCACACCCCTGACTTCCTTGGGCACCTGAACTCACGTGC